TTCTCACCCCAATTTTGGGGGTTTCTCTCCCCAATTTTGGGGGTGTCTGACCCCAATTTTGGGGGGTTCTCACCCCAATTTTGGGTTTCTCTCCCCAATTTTGGGGGTGTCTGACCCCAATTTTGGGTTTCTCTCCCAAATTTTGGGGATGTCTGACCCCAATTTTGGGGGGTGTCTGACCCCAATTTTGGGGTTCTCACGCCAATTTTGGGGGGTGTCTCTCCCCAATTTTGGGGGGTGTCTGACCCCAATTTTGGGGTGCCCTGACCCCCTTTTTCCCCCACAGGCACCCAGGACATCGTGTTTGGGGAGGTCGATCGGTGAGGGGGGGTCCCCGTTTTCTCTCCGTGTGCTGCTGCGGTTTGGGGGTGTCCCTGCACCCCCATTTTGGGTCAAATAAAGCCAGAATTGGGTCCTGTGTCCCCTTTGTGTTCCTTTTGTCACCTTGTTTCCTGATTTTGGGGGGCTCTTGTGCAGTTTGGGGTCTCTTTCCATTTTTGGGGGGGGCTCCTTTTCCTTTTTGGGGTCTCCCTCTCATTTTGGGGGGCTCCTTCTCCATTTAGGGCCTCTCTCCCCAATTTGAGGGGGCTCCTTTCCTTTTTTGGGGTCTCATTTCCCCTTTTGGGATCTCTCTCCCATTTTGGGGCCCCTTTCCAGTTTGGGGCCTCTCTCCCTATTTTGGGGATCTCCTTTCCTTTTTTGGGTTTTTTTTCCTCTTTTTGGGATCTCCTTCCCCTTTTGGGGCCCCTTTCCAATTTGGGGCCTCTCTCCCCAATTTAGGGGGGCCTCCTTTCCTTTTTTGGGGTCTTCTTTCCCCTTTTGGGGTTCCTTTCCCATTTTGGGGATCTCCTTTCCTTTTTTGGTTTTTTTTTCCCCTTTTTTGGGGTCCCCTTTTCCTCTTTTGGGGTCTCTTTTTCCTTTTTAGGGTTCCTTTTCCATTTAGGGCCTCCCTCCCCATTTTTGGGGTTCCTTTCCTTTTTTCGGGTTTCCTTCCCTTTTTAGGGTCTCTCTCCCCAATTTGGGGTCCTCTCTCCTCATTTTGGGGGTCTCCTTTCCCCTTTTTGGGTTCTCCTTCTCCTTTTAGGGTCCCTTCCCCTTTTGGAGCCTCTCCCCTAATTTGGGGTCCTCTCTCCCCATTTTAGGGGCTCTCCTTTCCTTTTCTGGGATCCCCTTTCCTTTTTTGGGGTCTCCTTCCTCTTTTAGGGTCCCTTCCCAATCTGGGGCCTCTCTCCCCAATTTAGGGGGGCCTCCTTTCATTTTTTGGGGTCTCCTTTTCCCCTTTTGGGGTCTCTTTTTCCTTTTTAGCGTCTCCTTCCCCATTCAGAACCAGAAGGGTCCCCCCAAACCCGGGCTGTCCCCCCATTTCCCCATTTCCCAGCGGCGATTTTGGGGTCCCCCCGACCCCAGAGGGGTCTCCTTCCCTTTTTGGGGCCTCCTTTCCCCAATTTAGGGGGCTCCTTTCCTTTTTTTGGGGTTTCTTTTTCCTTTTTGGGATCTCCTTCTCCTTTCAGTGTCCCTTCCCCTTTTGGGGCTCTCTCCCCAATTTGTGGGGTCTCCTTTCCTTTTTTGGGGTCTCTTTCTCCTTTTTGGGCCTCCTTTTCCCCATTTAGGACCTCTCTCCCCAATTTGAGGGGGCTCCTTTCCTTTTTTGGGGTCTCCTTTCCCCTTTTGGGATCTCCTTCCCCTTTTGGGGCCCCTTTCCAATCTGGGGCCTCTCCCCCCAATTTAGGGGGGCCTCCTTTCCTTTTTTGGGGTCTTCTTTCCCCTTTTGGGGTTCCTTCCCAATTTGGGGCCTCTCTCCTCATTTTAGGGGGGTCTCCTTTTCCTTTTTGGGGTCTCCCTCTCGTTTTGGGGGGCTCCTTCTCTATTTAGGCCCTCTCTCCCCATTTTTTGGGGATCCTTTCCTCTTTTGGGGCCCCTTTCCAATTTGGGGCCTCTCTCCCCATTTTGGCAATCTCCTTTCCTTTTTTGGGTTTTTTTTCCCCCCTTTTTTGGGGTCTCCTTTTCCTCTTTTGGGGTCTCTTTTTCCTTTTTAGGGTTCCTTTTCCATTTAGGGCCTCCCTCCCCATTTTTGGGGTTCCTTTCCTTTTTTGGGGTCTGTTTCCCATTTTGGGGCCCCTTCCCCATTTGAGGCCTCTCTCCCCATTTTTGGGGGCCTCTTTCTCCAGTTTGAGGGGGTTCCTTTCCTTTTTTGGGCTCTCCTTTTCCCCTTTTGGGATC